TGCACAGCCAAGGACACTGCACATGAATTATGTATTTAGCCTGAAGCATCTGTAGTCTTAACATTCACATTCTGTTCACATTCACTACATTGCACTGATCCATTAATACATGCAAATTCTTTAGATCTTCTTGCAATGTCACTGTAAAATCTATTAAAGCGCCCAATATTCTTATTCTTCTCAAATATTACAAATATACCAACAGAAATCGATTCACGAAAGCACAAGTGGGAGTGTGAATTAAACATGGCGAGAAGGCAGTAATGATCGGAAATCTACAATAAACAAATAAATAAATAAATACAGAAATTGTGAAGAGCTTATTAAAGAAACTGCGCAATGTTGATTGTTAATTAACGTTAATGTTAATTAACGTTGACTAAAAATGAATGGAAATAAAAATGAACGACAAATACTGAATATCTTTTTGAAAGTGAAAATCGTGCCACTTTTATATGCAAAGGTAACCACAGGGAGGAAATATAATATACTATAATATGAGCTTTCATGTTTCAAATAGTTTTTTTATTTAATTAACCACAGTAATACCGTCTCGTCACTGATATTTTCTGTAGATTGATTCTGCATTCCTTACTTCACTCAGTATGAGCCACATAAGAACCTGACAACCCTTCATGCAGGAATCATTTTTATGCAATGCACTTCCCACGCAGTTAGGCTGAATCCTAAATTGCCTTCTATCCAATATATAGTACATTCATTGGCCACTTTAATAGCAACACCTGTACCCAGAGAATGACCAGACAGGAAGTCTATAGTAACTCAAATAACCACTCTTTACAACCACGGTGAGCAGAAAAGCATCTCAGCATCAACACACAACTCCTGTCAGCCATGAGCGGGACTCTGGGGCTTCCGTGGGCACTCTTTTCCTATGCCAAAGGACACAACATAGGATACATCATATGTTCTGATAAACTTACTTTATTCAGCTAAAAGTAAATTTGGATTTATTCTGCTGTTGAATATCTAAATATTGTCAACATTCAAATCGAGTTCAATAAGTAAAATTTATCATGATCGCCCCAATGGAAATACATCAAGTACCGTATTTTTTTTTTTCTTATGACAAATGAAAATGCATAAAGAATCTTTTAATATTTACACCGTGAACTGAAACTGAATAAGAACCAAGATAGTTTCTTCCTGTGAATTTTCACACAGTCCATCTTATATATCTTTTTCTTATAACGTCATGCAAATGAAATCCTAATAATTTTCCTGGTAGAATGTTACCAATGCTACCAATGCTATATGAGCTCGAGTTGGACAGAAGTGACAAGTGACAAGCACAAGTATGTAATGTTCGCGTGTGTTGGTAAAGGGCAGACTGGCTGAGTTCTGAAAAGGCCACATAGGGAATGGCACAAGAAGAGATTATGACGAGGTGGTCACACCATGTGTGTGCCTGGCACGAACCCAAGTTGTTGCAGAGAAGCAAATCTCAAAAGCATGGCTATGGCATAAGAAAAGAGAACTCTAGGATGGGCAGAGCCGGCTGGTATTAATTGGCTAGCTGAGCTAAGCCCTCCATCTCTTTCAAAATATAAATAAATAAATAAATGAATAACAATATGGTGCAGTTTTTGGTACTCAGTCCAATTTGCTGTTAACAAATGGTTTGAATCTGCTGAGGCTATATATAAATAATAAACTATTAAGCAGTAATCTGAATTTTGCTTCTCAACTTCAAGCCTTGGTGTTAACTTATGTAAATTGGCAAGTGAAATAATGGTGCGTTCAAAACAGAACTTCATAAATTTATGACTGAGACGTAGCAACATGACCCTATAACTTTCAAAATTGCAAAGTTGGGAGAATACTGCTGCTTAGCACGTGGGAAATATGAATGGCAAGCATATACTAGCTAATAAAGCTAGACAGCATGTATTTCATCCAAACAAGGTAAAAGAAAATGAAACCAGACTGTTAAGAATATAAATTTCCCTCACATGTGAAAAGACATTGTAAGACTAAAATTACACTATTGCGTTGACAGAAAATCCATCTTTACCGAGAATCATCAACGCTGTGTCACAACTCATGAACACAACAGTGGGTCCTTAATATGAAATCATATTGTTATGAAATCTTGTAAACACTAGTTGAACACAGCACGACTTTATGATGAACTACCGAGTGGCACCATGAGTACGGAAGCACAATGCTGTCATGCAAGAAAAAAAAAACTATTAGCATCTTATTATTATGAGAAAAGCATCTTGTTAGTACAAGAAAACATCTTGAGACGCTGATGGATGTTTTTTTTCTTCTTTCTTGCATGGCAGCTTCCGTACAGTTTCAGTGTAAGGCTGTTAAGGCGCTGACAGAGACAGAGTGAACGCCGCCTTGAGAGACGTCCAGGATAATTACACATTGCTTAAACTAAGTTAAACTCTTAATTACAGAAGTAGATTGAGTGTGTCAAGTAGAATTCCCACTTGAGTCGAGCAAAACCACGCTCCATTAACGGAGCATTCTGAGAGACTGACAGCAAGCAGTTGGTGCAATCCGAGTGACGGGGAAAATTGCTCAAAACTGAAAATCATCCAAATGTAAAACCCATTTGTTAGCCAGCATATTTCAAGCTTGGACAGCGTCTTCTATAATAAAACCATTTGCCAGGGAAAAGATACAGAGTTGTGACTGTGACTATTGAACCAGCAGACAAATGAGGTCTTCGTAAACTGTGACAAAGTAATCAAGTGATTCATTCTGCCTGTTTAGCCCTCTCTCTTTGACCATGTGCCACTCAATCTCAGAATCCTCTCCTCAGTTCTGTCTGCAGCCCACACAGGTCACTCATGTGGGCAATTCAAAGTCACCATTTTGAAGGAATCTTGCACTTCATGGTCCATTGACTAATTGGAAGTGGCAGACACCTCTCCTGGGGAGCCACTAAGACTTTTAGTGCTTTTGAACACATCATCCCTGCTGGATTCAGCGGTCATTATTTATTTATTTATTTATTTCCCCCCCCCCCCCTAGCAGGGGTGGAACAATGAACTGAGACACAAAATTCACAATCAACAAACCAGAAAGTTTCTTTGGAGTGTAAAGGTCAAAAAAGTAAAAAAAAAAAAAAAAAGAAATTTCTACAGTTGCATTAATATTTATGCAGGCAAAGTTACTCGTATTCAGAGTCGGGTTACACGCTTCTTTAAGTCACTTTTCGAGCTCCACGTTTATTATCTGCATATAGCTCACTTCTACAAGGTTGCCAGATTTTTTTTTTTTTGCACAGAAGTGACCGAGACAAAGTTGTTCAATAGCGTCTAGACCGCCTTTAAACAAAAGCACTTGCCTATAACCCCCCCCCCCCAAAAAAAAAAAAAAAATCTAGTATCTAGTATATTGCCAATATATTGCTGCATGATTAGTCTTTGTTGTAATTACTACATTAATCACTGCAAATTACATTATTAACCTACAAACTATCACAGTAATAAAACTTCCAAATCTGTTCCTTCGCAGCACTGGAGCAGGAGAACATGCTAATAGTATGTCGCTTGCATGACTGACATTAATTGGGGTGAGTTGTAAATGTTAACTCCTGTGTACAGAGTACTGAGCGTTATTATGAATGTAGAGTATTCCAACAAGAACAGTGCTGTTTCCTTCAACACTGAAGAAAGCGTGCGTAATTATTGTTTCGTTCCGCTGCAACGGAGGATAATCCTCTTGACAGACAGCTAATGAACCTGACATCTGTCATGTTCACCGTCTCAAACAGTTCTCTGGGGGTTTTGCTTCAAACTGCTTTGGCTAGTTGATTCCTCCGCTGAAGTATATAAAGGATGTGCCTTGGGTACAAATTAGTCATTTTTGCCAAAGGAAGGAATGAATAACTTTGACTTTAACAGGCTTAAGTAATAGGATTGAGCAAGGTTTCATCAATGACATAATAAGAATAAGAATGGTATTTTACACACACACACACACACACACACACACACTTAAAGGCAAATAGGCAGCTGCATTGAAAATTATTTCTAATTATTTCGTCTCAACTGTCGCAAGTCAGTAGTACTCTCCTGGACTCATACCATGTTTCCTCCGAATATCAACCATGATAAAAAGAAAAGTTGTAACACTTCTATTCAAAAAAACAAACAAACAAACAAAAAACCTACAATTTTTGGGCGTGTCACACAATGTAATAACATGGCATGACTGTCACTGATAAGCTGCATGAATCTACAGTCTGGGCTAGAAAGAAATCAGCCCGGGCCTTGCTTCTTCATATCACTGTGTGTATTTATCTTACGACTACTGGTGGTGCTGTTGTGCTAAATTACATAACAATCCAAAACAATAATCGTATGTTGAATTTTTTTTAATCTTTAAAAGACTTTTCCCCCTTCTGATTTTCTCCAGAATTTAGGTTTGGCCAATTCCCACCCACCAGCCAGTTCCCCTATCTTAATACACTGCAAAAACCGGCATCTTAGCAAGTGAAAATATCTTGAATATAGTCAACTTTATCTAGTATTTCCTATTATAAGACTATCTGAAGCTTGAAATTGAAGAAATTGAAAAGAGAAATAGGTTTAATAATCTTATATTTTGTTTATGGTACTCTTATAATAGGAAATACTAGATAAATCTGACTATATTCTAGATATTTTCACTTGCCAAGAAAAAAAAAAATACAGTAAACAACTGTAAAAATATTTACAGTAAAGTACTGTAATATCTTGCATAGTATCAAATAACACATAATCCGGTATATTTTGTCATTTGGCTGATATTTAAAAAAAAAAAAAAAAAAAAAACAGCTTACAGTTGATGCAGGATACAACTGAAGGGAAGGTTAAGGGTCTTGCTTAAGGATACAACCATGGCAGGCTGGCAGTGCTACAATCTTCTGGTTAAGGTAACACAAACCCACCACAACTTGCACCGATTCAACGCAATCTTTCAGTGTGTGAGTTAATTCAGAGGTAAAAGTGGTTTGATCAAGGTGAACTAGCTGAGCTGGTTGTGGTGGCTCAGTGGTTAAGGCTTTGTGCTACAGATTCGAAGGTCTGGGGTCAAATCCCAGCACTGCCGTGGTTGGGTCCTTGAGCAAGACTCTTAACCTTCAGCTCACGTTACTTAAAAAAAAAAGCGTCAATCAAATGAGCAAAGGTACTGGATTACGTGTTAGTTTGTCTATGTAAGATATTACAGTACTTTACTGTAAATATATTTACAGGTGTTTATTAAAAGAAATTTTACAGTACTTTATTGGCAACCCTGCTTTATGCAGTGTATAAGGAGCAAGCTGAAATTTCACTTGTTATAGAGAGTGTGTGTGTCTGCGTCTATTATCCCTCAGCTGAAAGAGAGATCGATAGCGCACTGCCCACAACCATCCTCTCTATATTATAGCGGCATGACAGCTTGTCTTTTAAAGTACATTGATACTGGAATGGATCCAAAAACACTGCTGTTTACACAGATACTGGCTGGACTGTCTGCCTAGTGTCTGAACACACACACACACACACACCTTATTATAACTCCGTCCTGTTGCAAGCAGTGTACAATAATATTCCCAAAGAATCAAGACTAAAAGTTGGTAATATGGACTCCGTTATGCAAACCTCTGGTCTTAAAAGAATTCATTTAGAGTTGGTAATTAAACCAGACAAACAGACTAGCCAACCTATTTCGAGATTTTGCCGTTTAAAAACTGGAACACAGATGGTGCCCGCTCCTTTGGTGCACAAGTTCACTGAATGAATATTAGTAAGAGCTAGTTAACTGGTCTCACTGGCATTACTCTAACATTCCCTAATTCATTATGAGTTGCCTTTGTTGTTTTTTTTTTTTTTTCGGAAATGTTCCTTAAAAATGTTTACATCAGCCGTGATGAGATGGTCTTGTCAGTGTTGGTTTGTAGATGAAGCTTGGCAGGACAAGGAATTGCTCCCGGAGCAGGTCAGGATAAAATATTGCTCGCATGGTAATAGAGGGGTATTTTTAAACCAGACCGGCAGGAGAACTAGACATTAGGTCAGGATAGGAACCAAAGTGTGAGTGAACAAGGCTTAGAGATGAATTTGACTCCGGAGAGTGTATACGAGTCAAAAGTGACGCAAGACGGAACTGGTAAACAACTATGTAATACACTCCGAGGTTTAGTGAATGGCGTCACTGCACAAGCTATTTTCAGCCCCTAACGCCAGAACGTGGCATCTTGCTCTAACTTGGCATAAGTAGTAGCTGGTGGCATTTCACACCTCACAAAGGCGCTTGTTCTTTGCTCTCAGAGGACTGACGGCCAGATGGCCCACAATGCAACAGCAATAGTGGAGAAACCAACAGAGACTCAGACTAAAGGAGCTGAGACAGATGCTCATTAAGATGAGCGAATACAAATACGCCATGCAAACCGATCACTAATTGGTATCACTCGGCTATGGCTGAGAGAACCATTAGCGCAAAGAGAAGTTAAAATACAGGGCATACTCAAAAGCAAGGCTGAAACTCTCCTAATGCATTTATAAAGCATACATATTGGATTATAATACCTAATATACGGTATCTGTTCATCAGTAGTTATAGTGACATGCATATATACAGTTTGCAATACAACAGTATAAAACATAAGCATAAGAATATATTCAGTTCAATTCAACTGTATTTGTATAGCGCTTTTAACATTGTCACAAAGCAGCTTTACAGAAATCTATAAATTCTGGATGCCAATTTTAAATGTATAAGTTTATCCCTAATGAGCAAGCCAGAGGCGACGATGGCAGACGACACGAGGAAGAAGCCTTGAGAAGGACGCGACTCAAAAGGGAACCCATCCTCATCTGGGTGATCCCGAATAGTGAGATTAAAAATGATTTCGTCTTCTATAACTGTATACTATACAGTCAAAAAGTGTTAACTGTGTAACTTCTGAGCAACTTATGAACTTATGCAACATTTCTGAACTCATTATAGTTTTAGCTTTAAGTCTACTGTATCTAAATGAAGTTATTAACTGTTCAAGGACGGAGACTTTTCTTCAGCAAGCTGTTCTTAGCAACTGCAGTCCTAAGGCTATAAATATAAAATATATAATGTCATGTTACATAAGACTTAATATTAAGACAGTAAAACTGTAATGCACTGCAGGATGTGCTCTGGGATCTGTAGTTATAATGCTTTATAACATACACCTTTAGTGTATAGTAATGCATTCATTCTAGTAAGTTATAATAATAACGCATCGCTGTAACGATAAGACTTTAGAACGATTGTTTAGTAATTGCTGATGTGGTGAGGTTTTCTGTAAGTCGATGTTTATTTAACACATTTTTGGAAGGAGTCTCCAGTGTCAGCACTTTGTAGCAGCCAGAGGTGAAGCTGTAACTGTAAATTTTCCAACGCGGGAAACGTCTTCAGGATACGGGATGTTGTACTGCCTGTGTAAAATTACAAGCTGAACTTTTTTTTGCCTTATTAACTTCACGACAGAGGGAAAAAAAAAAAAAAGAGGTGGGTGAGGGAACAACTGTTTACAGCTGTTACAGCATAAGTGATATCAGGAACCAACTTGTTTCATGGATGTTCAACATGAATTGCGAATAGGAATTGGTGTGTGGAATAAAACAGCATACAGCACGCCTCAAAGTGTTTTATTCCTGACATATAACGCATAAACCGAGCACTATGGCTGGTTATTACAGGTTTTAAGCGACGTACGTTTTTAAAAATTTCTGAATGCTTTAGGAACTGTAAATTTTACTGACAGGAAACTGATAAGTAGGTGTGTTTAAAGCCCCAAACAGGAATAGCTAAAACAGTGACAAAGATATATAGTAATGCTTTATGTAACCTAAAATTATATTGTTATAATAAAGTCAAAGAAATGTCTTATGCATGTCATTATGTAACAACTTAGGAGCATTTATATATAGAGGCTTATGTCAGGTTATTAGGTGTGGTCTAAAACACTTTATAATGATTTACGGATGTAGGATTAATAGTTCGTGTTACCAGAAACATTTGGTCCATTTGTCCAGAACAGCAAGAACCATTTTTCCATTTTGCAATATGATCTCAAGGGTACCATTTGTAGGAGCACTAATTTACAAGATTGGATTTATTGGATTTTATGCAAATGGATTCATAAGAAAAGCTGCTAAAATGACCCCTAATTGTAACTTCAGCCTTTTGTAAATATTAACACCACCTGACTTTTGCTAATACATATGATTGTGCAGTCATGAGGCCATGTTCATTTCAGTTCACTAAATATCAACATGGAGTGTGGAGGAGGGGAAAAGAAATCATAATTACTTGCAAATAACGTTAAAAGTATTCATTTAAAATGCACCTGTACATTCTAATTTATGGTTATGGATGCCTCTCTCTCTTTTCTCCTTTAGCCCATTATGATCACATGTCTGTTGCACACATACTCCCTCTCTCTTTCTCTCTCTCTCAACATCGCCTGTGCCCTCCACCGGCAGACAGCTGCTAATAGGGGTTTATTTTTAGCAGGTGGGCGAGGTGTGGGTCTCTGTGATGGATGAAGGTGATGTTTTACCCCTCTCTCTTGCTCTCTCCCCATTTGGAGGATGGTGACATGGCCAAGGAGAGAAAGAAAGAAAGAAAGAAAGAAAGAAAGAAAGAAAGAACACTAGACAGACTGACTGATACACCTCAAGTACGATGTATAGGAAGTACAATCTTGGGACAGGTTTGTATTTCTGTTGAAAAGTATTTTACAGAATTAGAGACCTAGACACGTCACCAGAATTGATAAACTAGAAAAGACAAATAAATAATTCAATTTATCTTTCCTAACATAGATGAAGTCAGCGGAAAAATGTAACTAATCCGATGCATCATTTTAGAAATGTTATTCACCTGCTGTGATTCTGTAGGATTCCATGCAGTCAAATGTTATATATGAAAAGATAAGAATTTAGGAAACCATGTCCAAACCCCTAAGCTGGAGTTGAGGAGTGTAAGGAGTCCTGAATGACAGCACTCTGTAACAGTCATGGTGCATGGCAAAGTCTTCAGGTCAAAGGAGTTTACGCTTTCTGGTTTCTCTGTAAGGTGTGTTTTACAAGTTGCGTTTTTTTGGCGTTACTAATGTCAAGAGATTGGGTGTTGACGGAGCAACTTGTATATACTAAGTGATAACAGAAACTAACTTCGGATTCCATGCCTTAAAATCTCATATGAAATGTCAAGAATTTAGAAATCGAACTGCTGGAGGTCACTAAAAATTTTGGAAGCACGGTCACAGTCATGATATAGAACATCAGGAAGTCCAGGTAGCATTCTACATTTACGGCATTCGGCAGACGCCCTTATCCAGAGCATCTCACATTTATCTCCATTATACAACTGAGCAGGTGAGGGTTAAGGGCCTTGCTCAAGCAGTAGTAGTAACAGCTTGGTGGTGCTGGGATTTGAACTCGTGACCGTGAAGAAGCCCAACATCTTAACCACTGAGCTACCACTGCCCATTATCAGTGTGATTTTGCTGTCATGAGCACGGTATGGTTGTTGTGTGTGTAGGCTGCTGTATCCGTCAAGAGACTCGCTTGTCTGACGAATTTTAATCAAAAAAAAAAAAAAAAGATTACAAAAACACCCAAGTAATGAAAGCGGCACCAGTGGCAACAACATCTTATGTGTCCATATTCTTCGGCTTATGCTTGCTTTCTGCTGGTTCTAGAGAAGGCTTCACCAAATACTGATTGTTGGAGGTGCCGATAATTTGTAAGCCACATAACTGCACACTTGCATCACATGTTTAGGCTCAGACTATCCCTAATTGCATGCGGTATTCGTTTTTGTTCGTAAAGGGTGCCAATAGTTCTGGAGACGATGTATAAAGTAAAATGCAACCAACAGGAGAAGAATTGGAGAATCTGAGTAGTTTGGCAGATTGGTGGATTAGTGGTGGAGTTTAATGCTCAGTACAGAAGCTCTTCTACACTGCAGTTCTACAGTTTGGGAATATTAAAAGGTACACAGTGTTTCAGGTCTTGTGTGAGGTTGAATTTGATTGCGTGGCGTGCAACAGGAAAATATTAGCGGAATATTATTTT